GTAAGCACACTCTTTAGAATAATCAACCACAGGAAATCAAAAGGACAGCACTTGCTTACAGATAAAGCTCAGAAGGTAGGGACAGGAAACAGCAAGGAAATGGTAAACAGGTGAGGAGTGGTACGAGTGCTGTTCCCCTACAGGGATTGCTGTCGGTGTGCACGAATTGTTGAATAGAAAACCAATTTGCTCTGTAAACTTTCAACAAATTCACAGTAAAAACAAAACTAACTGGGGGGGAAAAAAAAATCAAGGATTCAGGAATCGATGGAATACAAATTAAAATCATTCAACAAAATGATGCAGTACTGGAAGTGCCCGTATCAGTTTGAACCAAAAGGTTGGTGGTTCTAGCTCACTAGCTGCTCCTCGGTAACCCTATACAGGCCACTATGAGTCAGAACTGACTCGACTACACACAACCCCCACTACCACCATTCAATCTGTACATTGAACAAATAAGCTGAAGAGCTGGATTATGTCAAGAATGTGGCATCAGGGTTGGAGGACGACTCATTAACAACATGAGATATGCAGGTGACACAACCTTGCTTGCTGGAAGCAAAGAGAACTTACTGAAGGAGATCAAAGACTACAGCCTTCAGTATGGACTGCACCTCAATGTAAAGAAGACAAAAATGCTCACAACTGGACCAAAAACATTCTGATAAACAGAGAAGAGAATGAAGTTGTCAAAGACTTCATTTTGCTTGAACCACAATCAACACTCCTGAAAGCAGCATTCAAGAAGTCAAACAACATATTGCATTAGGCAAATCTGCTGCACAAGGTCTCTTTAAAGTGTTAAAGAGTAAAAATGCCAGTCTGACCACTAAGGTATGCCTGATTATGGTATTTTCAATCACCTCATATGCATTCGAAAGTGAGGCAGTGAATAAGGAAGACTGTAGTAGAATTAATGCATATGAATTATGGTATTGGTGAAGAATATTTCAAGTACTATAGAATTGCAGAAGAACAAACAATTCTGTCTTGGAGGAAGAACAGCCAGAATGTTCCTTAGAAGTGGATGAAGAGCCTTTGTCTCTTGTTCTCTGGACTTATCAGGAAGGATCAGTTCTTAAAGAAGTACATCATGCTTGGTTAAGTGGAGGGTCAATGGAAAGGGGGAGGAACCCCAAGGAGATGGCTTCACACCACTGCAGAAACAATGGGCTCAGACAGAATAATAATTAAGAGGGTGGTGTAGGACCAAGCAGTGTTTCATTCTGTTGTGCATAGAGTTCTGTGACCAGAACTGAAGAGGCACATGACACCACCACCACCAATATAAACACACACACACAATCTGAAAAAATATTTATCAAACACTTAAAACAGTATTTCCAGGACTGGGATTATGAATGGTTTTCATTTTTTCCCATATGTTTTTTTTTTTTTTTTTTTGTCTTTTTTGTACTAATTCTATTTCAACTGCTGATAGACATTACTCATGTATTGTATTTTAAAATCTGCTAGCTACTTACCCAACAGTGCTGTGTTTTCGCCTGCACTGTCTTTAAAACTGACATTGCATTGGGTCACAGACTCATCAGTGGAAGATGATGGCAAATTGCTTCCATCACTTCTGTCTTCATCTGGTAAGGCAACGCTGAGATTTGTAGCTGAAACACTTCCCAGGGTAGATTCTGGAGTGGGCATCTCCTGCTCATCTTCATGCTCCCCCTTGAAGACAAGAGAGGAAAAGGAAAATACCCTTCTTAAAAAACATATTCAGAGTTTCACCTAGCATCTTTTTCTGCAAATTTATACAAAATATCATTTTTCATAAACTAAATTTTATAAAAAGCACACCAATAACTCCTTTTATCTAGCATCGTCAGAAAGTATGTTACTCTTAATAAGCAAGTTATCTAAGACCAAAATGCTTTTTATTCTAAAACCTATTTTCCCCTGATACCAGCAGTGGTGCTGTAGGGTAAGCACTTGACTGTTAACAGGAAGGCCAGCAGTTCAAACCCACCAGACGCTCCATTTTTAGAAAAAAGATGAGGCTTTTTGCTCCAGTGAAGATTTACAGCCTCGTAAACCCCAAACAGGGTCGCTATGAGAGGGAACTGACTGGTTGGCAGAGGGTTTACTGGAAGATAGTAACACTTTATTACAAACACACTTTTGTGTCCCTTTGAACCCATTGCCATCAAGTTGATTTAGACTCACAGTGACCCTACCAGACACAGCAAACTGCCCCTATAGGGTTTACAAGGCTGTAAATCTTTATTGAAACAAAGTGACAGATCTTGGAGCAGCTGGTGAATTTGAACTACTGATCTCTTTGGTTAGCAACTGAATGCTTAACTGTTGCACTACCAGGAGGTGTGACTCAGTCTGGCTGTCAGTGCTCACTTAGGAAAGGGCAGCAGCTATGCATTCTCAGTACTGGCTCTGACTGTTTTAAAGTCAGGCTCAAGGGTTTCCGACGTGAGTGAGGATTTTTAACGGCAGAGAACTTCACACTATATTTTGGTTCACTCTTAAAAAACCCATTGTTGGTTCCTTCTTTACATACAGGAGAGTGTCTTATCAGCTGTTAGTCTGCCTCCAATATTCCTCCTTCTTCCAATTTGTTGTCTTCAAAAATAAAATGAGGGCTGGCAATTATGTGCCTTATAGTAAACTTGAATATCAAAATATAGGGGGTATCCAGAAACCCTTTTTTAATGAATACCAAAGCCGAAGCTTTCTTGTGAGTAGTTGAAATTGCTGGTCAAGTGACCAATGAACTGAAGGGTTATTGTAGGGTGTGCAAATGATAAATGTGATCAGCTGCCCCCTGAAAAGGTAGAAGTCTGAGTCCAACTGGAAGCACAGTAGAAGAAAAGCCTGGATGTCTATGTCCATGAAATCAGAACTGGAAAACCCTCTGGAGCAAAGTTCATGGTCACCCGAGTCGGGGTCAGCTCATCGACATTTGAGTTTGTTTTGTTTTTATAGGTTTATTGCGATCATGTGATCCACATTTTTACTTGTTTCAAGTAAAAATATTTATTGCACCACAGTACCCGTCTCGTGCTGCCCTCAGGTATGAGGGCAGAGCTGGCCTTCTGGACTCCACTTCCCAGTCTGACCCTACCTTTGTTCTAGAACCCACTCGCCGTTGGCCACAGGTAACACTAAGCTAGTACCATTAACTAAATACCCTCAAGAATCTGACAGAGGTTTCCCTCTTACTGTGACTCATGACACCACCAAACAATAAATCTGTTGAGTCGCAATAATGCCCAAACTTCTCCTCAGCCAGATCCTGTTTCCCAGGCTTATGTAAGTACTGGCCAAACTTAACTACCTGTGAGTCTGAAACCCCAGAGTTCTACATCTCTGTGGACACATCACCAAGTTGCAATCTATGTTGTCTGACAGATCCCTGAATACCCAGGCCAAAAGTCCCTTCTCGTAAAAAATGACTCTCTCTGTCTTCTGTGGTACAGATTGTTAATGTGTGTTTAAAGATGAATAAAAAACTAAAGGAAAGACAAATTAATTCTTTATCTGATTTGTAAGCTATCATAGGTTTCTGTTCTTAAAAAATAAAGAAACTAGGTTTTCTGAGGATACATGTTCTAGCTTTAAGTTAATATTCTATGAAAGTAACTCAACCATTAAAATGAAGAGTGCTGATTTTTAATCGATGAAATGTCTGTAGATATATTTCTAAAACTAAACTCACAAGGGTTCGTCTCAGTGCTAAGGTCAACGAGATTCTGATTGTCAGTGTGCTTTCTGTAGAGATGAAAAGCAGGTTTAAAATGACTAATGGAGAAAAGAAACTAAAATGCACTTGAGAGTGTATTTAATGAAGAAAAAACTGTCTTCTCTTAGTTAAACAGACTATCCTACAAAAGCTCATTCTCTAAGTTCCAGTCACTGGAGCAAGGCCAGATGAATTGCACCTATCATGCCATGCCAAGTAGAACCCTAACTATCACAAACTGGCACTGTAGGATAAGCACTGGGCCACAAGGTCCATTTGAACCGCAAGGTCAGCAGTTCAAAGTCACCAATCGGAAACCTTGGAAAGGGTCGCTATGAGTCAGAACTGACTGAATGGCACTTAACAACAAAAGAATAAATAAATGTTGGATGTTCTAGAAGAAAGAAAAACCTCCTAGATATCAAAGTGGAGTGGAGTGAGGTTGGAATAACATAGCTCTTGAATGCTGACCTCCCCGTTTCATCTGTACTTCTGGAACTCACACTTGAAAAGAAAAAAGGAAAAAAAAAGGAAAAAACGATAGTGATTATTAAGGGAGTAGTCTCTTAGGTATCTTTTAGAAGACATGCTCAACTCCAAGATGACAAGAGATTTTAAGCAGACCATCCATCTGGGGAGTTGGTTCTCTAGTGAGGCTGCTCCAGGACAGAGAAGTGCCCCACCAGGTTTCCAAGGCTGTAAGTCTTTCGAGAAACACGCTGCTGCATCTTTCTCCTGGGAGTGTCTGGTGGGGTCAAACTGCTGACCTTTCAGTTAGCAGCTGAGTGCTTTAAGCACTGTGCACCAGGACCCCTAGAGATTTAATAACTAAATTACTTCTCTCAGAGACTTTTATTTCAAAACTGCATTATTTAGTCAAGGATAAATATGCAAAGATACATGTACTTACAGTTGGCATAAAGGTTCTAAAAATAAAAATATAACAAAACAGATGTATTTTCTGTTTTTGGTAACGTAGTAGTTAAGAGCTTGGGCCCTAGAATGAAGCAAACTTGTGTTTGAAAGCTGGCTCACCATAAACTAGCTGTGTGACCTTAGGCAACTTACTTAGCTTCCCTAAGCTGAGGCTTTTAATTAGTAAAATAACGATAATAATACTACTTAGATAATTTTTTTGAGGATTAAATGCAATAAATGGAAATTAATTAAATGTAAATAAATTCAATTAAGTGCACTAAAAGGCATTTTGGCACAGGGTTGTTATGACCCACTGTCTTTCTCTTTGCCTTAATTGTCTCTATTTTCTGAGGAGGGGCCTATGACCAACAGATTGTAAAAATCACAATTGGATGAACAAATTTAACACAGGATAAATTTCTGGAGCACGATTTAATTTTGAATCCAGGAGTTGGAAGAACATAAGTCAAAAAGTGTTGACACTACTGTAAAAGACTAATAAAAAGAACCCATACTAAAGGGGGGCGAGGATTCTTTGATGGTTGCTGGGATGTGGGAGGTGGGGTGAGGGAAGTGAGGGGAAGGTGGAGCACAGGGTAGGGAATAGACATAGGATAGTATGGGTGCTGGGGAGGGGGGCAATATACAAGAAGGGGAAAGTGAATGGAAGAACGAAGCAGATGGGAGAACAATTAGGCAGGTGGTTTGCAGGGGCTAAGTGGGACAAAGGTAAAGAAAGATGTATACACAACCTTAGAACAGCAGGGCTCTGGGATACAGGGATCGAGACATGGTTAGAATGGGGAACAGGGGGAAATAATGCTAAGATGCTTGGCTGTCTTTTGAATCTTGGTTTCCCTTGCATACCATTATAAAATAGACACTGGAGGGGGAGAGAAAGGAATAGCCAGAATATCTCCATAGAATGCTTGTAAGTCTATCTTCTGCCTATAACTGATTGGAATACCTAAAATGGGGCTACAACGTGCCCTGTGAAGGAGGCTTCCTGCAGAGCCTCTGCATTACATAAGACCATAGGTAGAATCCGGAAACCCATCCAGAATCTTCTGAGATGGAACATTTCCACTTGAAAGGACAGGCAGACCAGCCTGGAGTGGCTAGAAGAACAGAAAATACTTGAAAAAAAGACAGGAAAAATACAAAACAATATAGGCAGACCAACTGATTACTACAAGAACAAGCAAGATGCTCACCCAGGAGACTCAAGGCAAGTGGTCGGGTCCCCTCAGAGCAAACCCCCTTCCAAGGCTAAGAATCAATGGGAATACATGCTGTGATTGGTGATCACGTTCATCACCAATAAGGGGAAGTAAGGAAAAAACAACAATGAAGCTGCGAGCTAAGCCCTACAACATTCAATAGACTCCTGTGAACCCAGGTGGAAACCAGGTTGGCCATCAATGTGGCAAGACCTGGAGACTCTTGGGCCCAGAGTCCGTGACATACCCACAGAGGACTAGAGTGGACAGTGAAGTACTCAGCTGATAAGAAGAGAGGACAGATGCACAAGAACACCCACACTTGCAGATTAAACCCACTTGACATGGCTTCAATGACTGGATGATCAGAGCTCAACCAGAAGAAGAAAGAAGAGAAAAAAAGAGTAATCTGATACAATTTGATGAACTTGACCTACACCTACGGATGCAGTAGCTCAAAAGAGGGAACAAATCTTTACAGCAAGGATCATTCCCACCCTCTCTATACACATAGTAGACAGGGATGGGCAACTTGGACATTGGCTACCCAAAATGGGGGGGCTACAAAGGCAAGAAGTGACTGGTTTACAAGGTTTCAAGAGGGAACCTAGATCCAGAGGGCATGGAGGAAAGTAGAATCTCCACTGAGTAGTATCCAATCTGTCTAGGCGGGGCTGATGAAAGGAAATGTGGATAGGTCTCTTGTGACATAATACTGAATTACTATTATCAGGGCTGACTGTGAAGGTTGAAAATGTAAAGATAGACGTTTTGTAGCAAGGAGGGGAGTGATTGACTTTGCAGTCTAGGAGCGGAGGTCCCTGGGACCACCATCAAGGGAGAAGAGCGGAGAGCGGGACCCTACCCAGAGAAGCAGTGATACCAGAGATGGAGGAAGAGACGATGACGTGGAGAGATGGAGCAGCTGGGGATTTCAGAATCAGAGAGGGAAAGGGACTGTGTGCTAATGACCGAGGGTCAGGCTTGTAGGGTATATATACCCTTTGGTTGGTTAATAATGCATGGAGGGGATTGTAACCATGGCAATGAAATGATATACGATAGGATGAATGTAAAACTAATGTTCTCCCATGTAAACTATCACATAATTCACAATAAAACATTGAAAAAAAAAAAGCAGATGAAGGTCTCTTATATTTAAAGTCATGGTCCTAGGAACAAAACTCAAAATCATAAAAAGACCTGTTTTAGGACCATCAAGAAGGAAGAGCATGAGTGGAGCATGAGATCCTACCTAGAAAAGCGGTAAAGTAGAGATGGTTGCGGAGGCGATGGCACGGAGAGACAGCAGCTGAGGACTGAGAAAGGCTGTGTGCCCTTGGGCAGAAGGCTGTCTAGCAAAATGAACTCTTTGGACATTTAAATGAATATATTTATTTTTGTTTTGTATGCGTACATCAAATATTTTTGCTTTGTTCATTTGTGAAAAATAGTATGTAAAAGGGAAGCCACAGGAAGCAAATAGGATAATTGTTGTTTCAGGGAGGGGACTGTAATTACTGAGATGAAACAAAATATGTGATTGGTTGAAAGTAATACTGATGAGCTTATGTTAACCTTTAGTCAATTCACAATAAAAATATTTTTAAAAGAAAAAAA